AACATTAAAGTGGAATATAGTATGTAATTCTTTTATGCAGAAGATTATATTATTCAGCATGTGACGAAACGGTGAACAGCGCATATATTTAACTTTAGACGCACCCGTTTTTCATTACGTCAGCTCGTTGGGGTAAAATACATGTATGTAATAATATAATTGAGCTTTATTTATCGATCTTATACTTTAAAAGATATAGTGATTAAAGTTTTCCGGTTTGCAACTAAAGATAGCTAGTGTTACCCAGTTTCTCTGCCAGAATCGATATGATCTGATCAAACATTTATTAAGCTGTACTTGGACAGGCAAGAAAGAATTTGTATGCATTCTCCCTTAGCCAGCACGATCGTGTTAATTTAGAGAATCGGACTAACGATTCCGAAGCTGTGCGCCGCGGTACGTTTATATTGCGTTTATATACGTTTTTGACGAAAAGTCACAATTCCAGAAAGTATATTTTAATTAAATGCTTCTGCGATGTAGTATACCAAAAACCAAGGATTTAACTGAATCTTTCAGTTATCACATTTATTTTAAATTCAGTGTCATCGTGTTCTCGTGCGTGCACCACGAATGCAGGGCAAAAAATTCCGCCAATGTTTTTTTGTTGTTTGCTCTCTGTCTTTCCCATCGGCCAAATAAGTTGGCATCGGAATCGACCTTATCCTGTGGTACACCAAGTTATGGGTGTTGTTCATATGAACAGTTGTTCGGCAGTTCGTTCGGGATGCTTCATGTCGTGAACTAACGCTAACGACCCCCAAATCTTTTTCCAGCTTAGCCAATTGGGAGAAGTAGAGCACATAATGAAGTTTCAGTCACATGCGAATGGCTGGTGATGGACAGCACCGCTGTTTCTTCATATCAGAACGAGCTCCTGCATCATGTTCAGGCCCTAGTTTCAGCACGAAATTAATTTCTTCATTGCAATTGTGCATTTGGTAATCGTGCTGTTTCTTCATATTCTCATCTAAACTGTGTTCTTCCAGATCAGATATTTGATGCGCTTTCGGTATACTCAAAAGAGTTTGAACATTAACCTTATGTAACTGTATTTGAAGTTTGCATATGATGTGCCCATATTTTAAGATCCTGAGGCGGATATAGCAGTTTTGTCCATGCTCTCGCTTTTCATTTATTTTGTTATTGTACCTGTTGTTTCATTTACGGTAACTTTTTTTATTTATCATGAAAATCAAGATTAGTTCGCAGTCTTTTCTAAAAATTGAGCGTGGAATTTCATCTCCTCAGATAGCAAATGTTTCAAATTTTAATACGTTGAAACCTGTTTGCTCAAAGTTAAAGTTATTTTCTAAATTAACCATGATACTTTTCAAGGTATTTTGCTGTCCGTAAAAATATCAGGATTGACAAACTGAGAAATCTGCAAGTTCAAACCTGCGCGGCTTCTTTTATGTAATTAAATTGTCAATGAACAAATTTATGCTATTTTAACTCGCGTGAGTGTCTTTTCAAGCTCTTCACTATAACATGTAATCTTTCCTTTATACTCAAAATATTCAAAATTCATCGGAAACAGCCGCGATTTCGGAACAAAAACAAAAGGGGAGGGCAATAGTTCCATATTTAACCCTGTCCACAGGTGGATTGCTACATTGAGATGCAAGTTCTGTGCGGATCATGCTCCAGATTTAAAAGTAGTTAGGCACTTGCTGAATCTGAATTAAACTCTACATAATTAAATGAAAAAATCTAATTAATTAAGCTATATTTATAGACTTTCATTCAAAGTCAGTGCCTAAAACAGTTAAAAAGATTTTGAACAGCGTCTACTACTCGGTTTCCTATCGGTTTTAAATAACTAGATATTCATGATGATGTAGCTGGGTTGTATAGGCTTTATGGCTGTGTGCATTTACTGATGTATGGCATGCCCGTTCATCTAGCGCGCTGTCGTAACGTACAAAAATACGGCTGTATCAGTTTTGTATTTTTCCGATGCTGGGACCTGGAAATGCAAAAGGCTAATGGGAAAGACCTTCACGTTTTCCGTGTATGGATCCGGAGAAGCTTCTTCAAATCAAATGACACGCCTGTCCGAAACGCGAATTTCGCCGAGCTTAGCGCATTACTTAATATTTAATAAAATTCTGCTTAAGCGGTTCCATACACAAAAAAAGACAGTTTTTTTATTTTTATTATAACTCTCTCTACTTTCTATTTATTCATTTTTAAAGCGATTTTTTTCGAATTACGAGGCAATTAGTTCAGATGCTTGAGCCACTAAACTCGTAATCTCAAGGATTTGTCTTCCAGTACTACGTTTGAGACGGATTGTTCGATAGAGTCCAACAATTTTGGAATACTGTGAAGTCGTCCTCGCGAAAATGCTCATAATACCGATGGCGTAAGACTGACAATGGTGTCGAATCCGTGATTGAATTTCCAAAGAAATCATGCTCTCCGAATGAGTTTTTTGCATTAACACCTTTCTGGAACCTAATCCAAGGATTATGTGCTTTTATGTAAATTTGTTTATATTGTTTAACTTAATTATTTTACCAACATTATATATATGTTATCATATAGTTCTGTGTAGTTATAATATATGATATGGTTGCAGTTCAGTTTGCACTAAAACCTAATATTTTCAGCCGTTTTGCCGTAT